AACCTTTGACATTTGTGAGTAATCTAGTTATTCCCAAATGCCTGAACTTGCTCAGGCATGACCTATACATATCTTAATGTCAGACAAAGATTAGCCAAACAATATTTAGACAAAAGTTGCAGTTTCTGTTATTTTATGTATGGGGTATTTTGGGAAAGGGTGCGGTCCTTCAAATGCTTCTCTAAATTAAACCAGGTTTGTCCTTTAAAGTCTTGTTACTGAAGCTGAAGATGTAAGGTACCCATTATTGGACTCCATATTTAGATGCCTTTTGAAAGGTGTCCCAGATGCTGGAATAATTTGCATGGGGAAGGGGATGCTCAGAGTCGTTGAACCAAACTGTGTGAGCCCTGTCAATAATGGAAACCACTTTAAGCTGGGGGTGCTGCAACATCCTCTGCGCACCTAGTTTCAGCACCTAGGAAGTCCAGCCACTTGAAGGGAACTAGCATGAGTGGGAGAACGGGCTAATTTTCTATACTAAACATTGCAGGCAAAAACCTGCTGAGTGTCCACCACCTTAGAGCCTGGAGACCCAAATGATGGCTAATGATGCAAGAATAGTTGACTAGGCTCTGCCAGGACTGGTTGGCTCCACAGAGCCTGCTGCTAAGCGAGAACCTGCAGCCTCCTGTAGGCCAGTACTGCAGCTCTTCCCTGGCTTGTAAGGGCTCAGGGCAAGTGCAGGGGCCCTGGCTTATTGCCCCTGTCCATTTTGGAAGGCCATCAGGTCACAATCCCCCTCCCGTAGGCACATAAGTAACCCATGGTAGCACTCGGGAGGTGCATCGCCCCTCTGAGCTCCTGCCAAAATGTTAATTGCTAAATGGGGTGCCCCCTCACGCCTACTCTCTGTTCTCCTGGGTATCCTCCCTGCACGCTCTGCCCCGCAGGCCCCAGTCGCCTATGAACCCTGGCACCTGTGAGGCCTGAACTCCCGGGACAAGGAAGGATGAATGAGCAGCTCGTTCTTCCGGGGGAGAGGAGGCCAAGGCCAGAGCCCCGCATTAAGAAAGGAGCCGCCTAGAGCTTCCCCCAGCCTGGGGGGGGGGGGGGTGAGGGGGCGCGGCCGCGC